GTAAACAGCAATGTCTTCAACATTCCTGTGGTGTAGAGAGATAATTTAGATAACTTATGGTGCTCAGCTCAGCCAACGTATTGACAGTTAACCACGTCACACAGTGAACAAGCCTTTTAATGATTTTGTTGTTATTATATTGAAATCTTTTAATATATTGTTTACAGAAAAGATCAAGGTATAGCTCTGTGTGTGTGAGCTTATTTAAAACTGTTTTGTATTGTATGGTCCTCACAGGACAGCTGCTGTTTTTTTGCTTTTATTTAAATCATAATGTCCCAAAGCAGTGGGATTGTTTCTTTACACTGCATTAAAATCAACAAACTCAATTGATTTCAGAATGCTTATGTCAAAGTAGAAAAAACAATGAGACTTTGCATTTTTAGCAGATACAGTTTTGACTTGCTATACTGCCATGAAGAGAGCATGGGAACCTTTTTATGAGAGTGCACCCAGCTGCTGCTGACTAAGATAAGCCCTCCACCTCTGACATCTGATATAATTTCTCTTTGTGGTTCCTTATCATCTCTTGCATGTCACTAGTGTACTCGAGCCAGCTTCAGTGAAGCACCTCTGCAAACATCCCTGCACTGAAGAGCGTAAGACCAGGAAACCTTTGTTACACTGATCCACTGTTTATCACAGCAACCCTGTTTTCTGTAGATATTTGTAAAAATATTACATTCCCACTAAACACTGGATGTTGGGTAGACGTGCAGATCATGTCCGTCTTGAGTCTGTTTTTATTAATTTTGCATTAAGACGTGGTACTTCTTAGATTGTTTTCATTTAACTGACTAATCAGCAGGTCTAATACAAACACGATGCTGTGTTTCAGTGGATTAAGAAGTTTTAGTGAATCTAATGATGTCTGAGCCACCTGAGTGTGGAATAACTACACTGGACATCACGCCGTATGCCTTTCCATCTTCACAGACCAATGGACCACCAGCATCTCCCTGGAAGTAAATATTCAGCATGTGAAGCAGTGATGCTTCAAAAGTGAGTTAACTGAACAAAGTCAGTTCACTTTATTTTACAAAAATGTATGTACCTCGCTGAGGAAACTGAGGAAAGGGTCCGGATAGCAAAGGGTCAGAGCAAAACAGAGTAGAGACTGAGCCTGCAACAAGGCTCGAGGGCCATCAGAGACATGAGGACAGACTGAAGTTAAGAGAGAGAAGGCGAGCCTTTGATAGCCTCAAGCTGATATATGACAGAAAGGAGAACAGAGATAGGGCTGAGAGTTTGACAAAGGTCAGGAGAAGAAATGAGAGCCTGTATTAAGCTTCAAGCCCACAGAAGGCCAGGATGCGGCCAGAACATGTAATAACAATTAGCTGATCAAATGTAATCTCTCTCAGTGACTGTGAGGACTGCTGCTGGCTGAATGAGTGTGATTGTTTACACCTGTGTTTGCTGAGTGTCTCGGACAATTTGCGGTTTGATTGTTATTTATACTAATTTTAGGTCTTTTATTATTGTATTCTTCTTATTTTATTTATTTATTTATTTTACTGATTATTACACTACAGAATACAATAATCAATCAAGAATATTTTGTTTTAGCCTGTGTGTTTCTGTAGATACCTTGAGAAATCACAATGAAACCTTCTTGAATTTTAAATCTT